ACATTCTTGGTTCACCTTCACTGGTATCACAGAAGGTTCTCCTTGCAATATCCAAAAATCCATCAATTCCGGCTTTTAAAGCAAAACACTGTTGTGTGCGAGCAACAAAAGGAACCCNTGCATGNAGGACATCATCATCAATAACTTCNCCGACTCTGATAAGACAAGAGGATAAAGAGTCCAGTTATTTGAAAACTCTAATTTTAAGAAGCCTTAAACGGAGGAAATGGAAAATACATCCAGAAAATAAGATCATAGTTAAGATCTACTTTTTTCTGATGGAAGCATATGTATCATTTTCACACACAGACTTGTAAACATTGGCCAGGAGAAAACACTTTGCGTCCTTTAGAACCTGCATTTTTACGCGGGATAGGGCCTAACTGGTAAGGGGTAGAGCTCACAGACATAGTTGCTAAATCAAGGAAGAAATCTGATAACAAAATGAGAAATAATAGCACCTTAGCAAGCAGAGGCAAAGCATCCAATGCAGTCTTAAGTAAGATAATGCTTGAAATCATGGTTTGGCTCCTTCTGGTATTGTCAAAACCTAGGACCGCATCTGTGACTTTCTTTGGCTTGAAGCAGAAATGACAAAGAACTCTATCTGAAAAGTTGTGGATAATCTTTTGAGATGATGTGATTAAAAGAAGAACCAAGCTTTTGGATGCAAAGAGAAAATTTCAGGATTTTCACATATTTTTTCCTAGTTACTTACCAGTCTCTTTTGGAAATTTACGTAAAACCTGTGACAGCCCAAAGAATAGTTGTTCATTGCTCATCAACTCATCCTGAAATTACAAGAAAAGGAAATGTTATGTCATTCGCTCATGACAAAACATCCATGGTTAATAAATCATCATGCAATGGAAAATTTCTGGTAGTTGCACAATGACTAAGCTCTATAAATCAACAATGTTGAACACCTAACAGAAAGTGAATGTTATGCATATTAAAGTTTCTTGGAGAATATGATACCCAAAGCATAACTATACTAACCAGGCAGTCCAGGCGAGTGTTAATAGTTTCAATATCTTTCAGAGGCTGCAACAAATTGGCACGAAGAAGCCTAGTCCTGACCAACGTATAATGTATGATCTAAATTGATTAGTGTGTTAAAGGATCAATGAAATATGCACATGACTGAGGAACATAGTATGAAGATTAAACTTTGAATGCTGAAATGCCAAACTCATATACAATATTTTTCACAACAGACGAAGAGGTCTCTGATAGTAATTTCAATACCAAGGAAAAAGAAAGAAGAAGCAAATTCTAGATACCCGCCAACAGTTTTTGTTGTCTTGAACATCTGGAACAAACTCCTCTTTTTGTTGCTAGTGCCCAAAAGAGCATTANGGAATGGATCAATGATTTCCAGATTNTNAACACTACCATTAAACCAAACAAACAATGAAATAAAAGGAGTTATAGTTTTGATGCTAAAATTCTCTAAAACTTTAATAGACTAAGAACATGATATAATATCATGGTAATCGTACCTAGTTGCATCGATATTCATGTGATCAAACGATCCATTAAAAGTTACCTAAACATAGGCAGAACAATCAAGGCAAATGCTACCAGCCAAAAGAGAAGGTTGAACCCAAAGAAGAAACATTCACAATTTTCACAACCAGGTATTTAAGAAAAGTACATAACCAAACACATACAGTCAGTGAATGGTTGGTGACTACCACACCCTTTTCCGCCTCTATCCTGCTCATGACACAACCAAAACTCAGTATTCAAAAACACCAAACTGATAATGCACTAAAGCAAAAACAAGTTGAGGATGTAGACACCATTTGATTGTAGCTGCAGCAGCAGCCAGTGAGAGATAATGCTGCTTATAGTAAGTGTCTAAACCAAGCGCCACAGGTTCTTTTGCAGCCAAGTTTTGAATGAGCATCGCACCCTGAAACATACAACCAACAACGCGTTCCTAATTTAGAAAGACATGATTACAAGGATCAAGATCCCTTAGATTAAGGCATGTTTGTGCTACAAGAGACCTTGGTGTCATCAAAACAGCCACGAGCAAGCACAACCTGCAAGAAGAGAAGATATATAGTAACAATTTGATTGATTCTGATAAAGCTAAAATACACACATACATTTCCGATCCGAATTTGAACAGAAACATTTCTCCATTGCAGAAAATCCAACCTTCCTAACGGCGGTATAACATCTATCAACCAGTTCTGAAACCCCAACCATGCCATCTGCTGCTAGTTTGTTGGGAGGAACAATTATCACAGAAGGATCATAGAAACGCAGGAGCGTCTTCGTGTTTTGGTACGAGCTGCTTGTCTCTATATACTGAGATAAATGCAGCGAAGCGGACCTTAGGTCAAAGGCAGCCATTCCAACCTGACCAGAGAAATTCAAAATCGAAATCGAACATCACCACGAAGATACTATGCGAGCAAGAACCTTGTGAGAATTTGAACATCGATCCCAGAAATCGCCATTGCAAAAAACGGAGACCATAAGAGAACACGAAGCAGATCGTAGTCCTGCGAAAGGAAGGGGGAAGCCGTACGTACCTCTTTGGCTCTGTTCTCGATGAGGCCGGCGACGAAGCTCGATCTCTCTCCACCGTCGTCTTCCATTTTCGCTCGACAGAGATCGGAATTTGAAATTTGAGCAAAATTTAGTGTTCCCCAAATCTAGGCAAAAGCGCGCTACTCCCAATTTTATCACCACGCCGATATTTATTTTGCAATTTGGGTCGATTCCGGTTCAGTTTCGTTGGTTTAAATTCGATTTTCAATCACATTACAATTTGAATATTCGACAAAAAAATCACATACATCGTTGGTTTCAGATCGGTTTGATTGGTTCAATTCAGTTTGAAATGAGGAACATGCTTGATCCAGTTCCCAATGAAGAACTCATCGTCGCCATGTCACTCCGAAACCTTACTAAAATGAAGCTTAAACACATATAACAAAGAAAAGATGATCTTACTTTAACAGTTGCTTACTCTCTCATCTTACAACAAACAATTGGATGTGAAACATATGAACAGTAAGAAGTATACCACAGTGATTTACAAAGGTCTATCCATCACTCACAAGTCACAGGACCTCGTCAATGTTTACATAGCGGCGCTGCTCAATGGAGAGCTGTGCAGCAACTCCCATGGCAACAGCCATCAATCCGTCGTCCAAATCAACATCTGCTCTTCCTTCACCTCTGATTGCTGATAAGAAGGTCAGGTGTTCCAAGTAACTTGACCCGTGATGCAACCCTTCATATCTGAATCACCAACCCTTCATATGTGAGACTCTTCTACATTACATTATTGTAAGACTGCAAGACACTATGCATATGGATATGTCTTACTTTATTCTTTCATCCTCAGCTTTTATCGTTTGAACGTGTTCTCTTCCTTCAGCACGGCTGCCAAATCGAACTATACCCTCTGGAACAAGTGCCTCCCCCTGCAACATGCTTGCCAAGTAAATTGGAAAGACGCATGGATCATATGAACAAATCCAAAGAAATGGTCTGAGAACACTTTAATATGCTCATATTCTCTGCCTCTCTATTCTTATAAGAGCATGAAACCAAAACAAGTTTCAAAGGAACTCACCTTTCCAATGTCACCAGTAACAGAAATTTCTTGCTCGTTTTTGCTTCCTTCAGCAAACATGCAAAGATCCAGCATCCCCCGACATCCATTGTCAAACTCAATTATAATGTATGCGTTATCTATTATGTCAGGTACCTATATCACAGAGAAACATATGTAGTATTAAACTCACTATACAGACTCATTTACATACATAAATGATTTGGGAGAAAAAAATGTACCTTTCCATCGTAAACTTCGTCCTTGTGGTTCACATCCATGCCTCCAGAAGCCATCACACAGACAGGATTTGCACCAGCAAAGAGCCTCATGAGATCAAAGAAGTGGCAGCACTTCTCCACTAAGGTACCTCCGGTGTTCACATTGAATCTATTCCAGTTATTCACCTGTGATGTGATGTCATGTGTTCTTCTCAGCAAACATATAAATGGGATGCGTAAAGACTATACATAGTCCAGCTTGTTTAGAGCCTACCTTAACCAAGAAAGGGAATCTGTGTTCTCGGATTGCTACCATCTTGATGTTTCCAAAGTCTCTGCCTTTAACTTTTTCTATAAGCTTAGCTACTGGTGGCATGTATCTGTACTCTAACCCAACTTGCACCACCATATCTGACCTTTTCTTTGCAGCCTCCATAACCTGATTCCAGACACAGTTTTTGATGAATTGATCAATCAGACTGAGCAAACACACAAGAAGAACAAAATGACCTGTTTGCAATCTGCAACTGTGGTGCATAAAGGCTTCTCAACAAGAACATGATGCGGTTTTGGATAATTGACGATGTCCATCAGAATCTGATGATGAGTCATATTCGGAGAAGACACAACAATCACGTCGCACAGCTCACTCTTGAGCAACTCTTGGTGTCCTGAGAAAACCTTAAATCACAATACCGGGAAAATCTCAAATTTTGAGCTTACCAACGCCTAAGCTCTTCCACAATCACTTTGATGTACCAAGAGAGTTTATCAAAGTACAAAATCAAACAATCATGCATTAGAACATTAAAGAGAAACACTTTACGAAGGTCCTCTCTACACAGAACTGAATAGTGAATCTTAAAATTTGATTATCGGGAAAAGGGAATGAATACCTTGAGTTCCCAGCCAAAGGATCGAGCTAGTTCAGTGGCAAGAAGCTGTGAGGGAGGGTGAGGATCGGCGATGCAAACGACGGAGAGGCCTTGATCTCGGAGATGGTGAAGATTGATGAGATGTTCTCTACCCATCATACCAATCCCTACGATTCCATACTTTGCAATCGCCATTTCCCAACTCCAGAG